AGGTGAAGTTTGACTCTCACTTCGTCCAAGTTAAAAACGTCATCTATGAGTCAACGTGCTTTAATAGGCGTGAACAAGAGTCCTCCGAGACCATTGACCATGACATCACTGCCTTATATAACATGGCAGACAGGTGCGACTAGGGTGATTTGCGGTATCGCCTCATCGGCAACTGTTTTGTACTGGGAGTGACAAAGAAGCTCTCCAAAGCTCTGCAGCTGGACGCTAACCTCACACTCGCCACGGCGCTTGCTAAAGCACGGTAAAAGGAGTCTGTGGACTACAGCAACAGCTCCTTCAGGCCTCCGAGGGACTGTTCACTTTCAAGATAAAATACACCGCTTTTGACGCCATCTCCCACAATCATAGCGAAAAGAACAAGAACCTACTGGGATCGCGTAACGCCACGAAATCAAGTGATCAATTGTGCGGCTACTGTAGTGGAACACCTTATTCTCGTTCTCTGTGCCCAGCAAGAACTGAGAAGTGCTCAAAGTGCAACACAAAGGAACATTTCACTCCCATATGTTGGAAAGTTCTCAAAAGACATCTCAACGCTCGAGTGAGGAACCTCAGCGCCGTACAGTAGACTCGCGATAATTCAAACTTTGATAATTCATACTTTCAGTTATTTCAAACAAAATTCAATATTTTGGTTGGCCCCCTATTCTATCAATGTATTTAAAAGCCTCCTAATTCACACTCCGTCATTGAGTTAATGCATGCTTTTTTCACCTCCACACCAGAAAATATCACCAGCTTTCCCACTACTATTTAAAAATTTGTGTGCTTATATAATTCTAACCGTCTAAAAATGAAAAAAATAAGCACCTGAGGCCTTCAAGGGAAAAGGCTTTGCAAGTAAGCAAATGTTTGAAACGAAGCACGCGCATGGTAAACCTTGTTGCTTTTCAACTAGTAAAGAGAGCTTTGTGCTGAAGGCACCTATAGCAATGAAGCAGTTAGAAATTCACGATTTCATTAAAAAGTGCAATCAGCAGTAAATGGCCAATCCACTTATGGACTTTACAGCTCTGCTTTCTGTTCACTGCGTGCAGTTAGACTTAAATACACTTTAAAAAATTTTTAAATGTGATAAAATGAATGCCTAATCAAACTGTGTGGTGTTACTTCACCCAGAGTCATCTATCTGAGAACTTCTGATAATTCAAACTTCTTGAAAATTCAAACAAAATACAGAGGTTCCTTCGAGTTTGAGTGAACGAGAGTTGACTGTATCTTGGTGCCGTAAACCAATCAGACTCCAGACTCAAACCAACCAGACTCAAGCATGCTTGCCAAACTCGACAAGAATGGCTATCCACTGATCGCAAAGAGTGACACCGGTGCCCAGGTAACTATTGTCCCAGCTACCTTTGCTTGGATTCCTGAACATCTTCAGCCGGCATGTGAAACCCTCTCGGGACCGAACGGCAGGGCACTTCAGCTCGTCGTAAAATTTGAGGTTTGAATCACGTAGAGTTCACTTAGGTTGAAACAAGTCGTCTACGATGTGCAGCAGCTGAAACATCCATTCCTTGGATTACTTGCGATCGAAAGCTCGAGACTCGAGTCTCTGTGCCACAGAACACGTAGAAAAACAATATCCCGAACTTTTCACTCGTCTAGGACTGCTGCCGGGTGCATGCACAATTTGCCTCAATCACGTGACTGCACCCTCTTCTGTGACTGTGACAAGGTGCACCCCTGGGTATTTATGGAAAGCAATCCAGCATGAGATTATCAGCATGTAACAGCAAAAAGTGATCCACCCTAAATAAGGCCCTACAGACTAGTGCGCGGGAATCATTCCGGTAGTGAAACCCTCAGGAGGTGTCGAATATGTAAGGACTTCATCTGCCTCAACTCTTCTATTTTTAGGAAAAAGATTTTCGCTTCTGTCAGAACAACAGACGCTCACTTTCTTAGGTGAGGCAACTGTTTTCTGAAGACTAGACGTCAATTTGGGCTTTTACCAAACTCTCTCTCCCGAGCATGCCAAGAGCTCGCAACATTCATAACGCCAATTGGAAGCTTTTGTTTCACGAGACTTCCATTCAGCATAACATCAGCACCAGAATATTTTAAAAATGCATGTCTGAAATCATTAGCGGACTAACAGGAGTGGTCAACCTCACAGATGACATTCTCATCTTTAGTTGCGATCAAGCCAAGTACGACAGAAACCTTGATGCGACTCAAGCAGCTTGTTTCCTCAGGAATCACTCTCAACCACTCTAAATGTGCTTTCAGCGTGGAGGAGGTGACCTTCTGAGGCTGTGTCCGCAGTTATCAAGGTATACATCCCGATCTTAAAAAATAACGAGGCTGTAAAGTGTCTCTTGTCGCCTATAGAGGTCGCCGCAGTCTGCCGGATCTAAGGGATTGTGAACTATCTGGTAAGATTCCTGTCAAATTTGGCCGAAAGAACTGCTGCGCTTCGTGTTCTCCTCAAGAAAACGTCAAGAGTGGACATGGGGCCCCTGCTCAGGAAAAATTCTTCCAAAGCGTTGAGGAGCTCATCTGATAGGGCCAGTGCTTGGCAAAATATGCAAGATATCCTACTACCCTCTCGGCAGACGCATCAGCCTACGGAATGGGCGCAGTACTGCTAAAAGTGCAACCAGATGGGAACAACCGCCCAGTCGCATTCGCCTTAAGATCCCCAACGCCAGCGGAAACTCGGTATGCTCGGATAGAAAAAGAAGCAGTAGCTCTAACCAGGGGAGCCGAACGTTTCGAAGAATACCTGCATAGTCTCGCGGCAACCTTTCAGACAGATCATCAATCTTTGATCATTCTCCTGGGAAAAGAGTCTTGATCTGCTGCCACCACGAATTCAACGCTTCCGCATGCACTTCATGCGGTTTACATACACGTTATAGAGTATGTACCAGGAAGAAGCATTACTACTGCTGACACTCTCTTGAGAGCACCAATCGCAAATAGTTCAGCAGGACAAACTCTCACTTGTGATGAACTGAACGCCTACGTTCAGGGTGCACTCATAGGCCTGCAAACTTCCACTTTTGATCCTATGAAGAAAGCTCAAAGGGAAGACGAGGTTTCCCAGCCTCTTTCATGTGCCTCAATGATAGCCAAAAAAAAAAAAAAATACAGCATCCCAGCCCCCTTCTTTTCATATTAGCAGTACAGAACAACTCTGTTAAAAACGATGTCTACCTGCTGCGTGGAACGCACGTGGTGATTCCTAATTTTCTAAGGAGCGAAATTCTCACTTGCCTACATGAGGGTTACCAAAGCATCGAACGCTGTAGAGCAAGTTGCAGCAAAGCAGTCTGTGTGGTGGCCTGTAATTTCATCGGAAATACAGCGAATGGTTTCAAACTGTAAAACTTGCACTAGGAACTGACTGCAAACAGTCAAACCATTTCTGCCGACAGCTACACTAGAGCTTCCATGTTAAATGGTGGGGATCCACTTCCAACTTCGGGTAAAGAACTACCTGATGTGTGTGAACTATCGCTCACAGTACCCCGAGATTGTACTCTTGGCTTCCACCTCTGCAGACACTGTCATTAACCACCTCAAAAGCATTTTCTCTGATCTTGTATCTTACAACGGCCCACAGTTCTCGAGCTCAGCTTTGCAGAATTCGCAAAAGCATGCAGCTTCAACCACATCGTGAACAGCCCTTTTCATCCACAGGCCAACGGGAAAGCGGACCACGCTGTTCAAACAGTGAAACTTCTGCTTGAGGAAGCAAAAGGCTTGTACCTTGCTCTACTGGCCTACCGAGACACGCCGGGGCCTACAGGCTTCAGTCCGGCTAAATTGCTCACAGGACGCCAGCTAAACTCTCGAGTTCCTGCATTGCCCACCCTTGCTCGCTCCCGAAAGCGTCGAAGAGGGACCTCGATGCAAAACAACACCAGAGGTGAAATTTCAACTGTTGCCATGCAGTTAAAGAGCTACCCGCTCTCTCTCCGAACACCCGTGTCTAGGTGCGAGTCCTCAAATTCGAGGTGGAGATAACCCAACAAGCAAACACTCACCGCTCTTACTGGGCCCAAACAGAGCGTGGACATGTGCGTCGCAACAGAAGAATGCTCGTCCCATTCCCAGCCTCACAGAAGAAAGCGCAACCTCCTCGCTCCTTGTTACTCAACTTGGATGACGAAGATTTCGAGCCGTCGCCAGCCACGGGACCGCAAGCTGCCCTCTACAACAGAGCTCCATCCTAGCAAGGTGACTCACTGCGAACCGAGAGCAATAATTCCCCGCCCAAGACAGTCGGAAATGCCCCAGCAGAGACAGAGTGTTCCAGCAACCACCACCTGTTCCAGCCGCAGAGTCTTTGTGCCCGACTTTTACGGGGTAGTCACTTAAAACAGGGAGATAATGCAAAGCGCCTCGCCTACTGTAACACGCACCTGCCGGATTACACTCCGAAAGCAGGTGCATCTGGGTGCCTGTTGAACGCTTTCTGTTACCAGCAAGCTGTGAGAAGAGTCGCTTCTTTTTTGTGTTTCTTGAGCTCACAACACAATCCGCTTATAACTACATAATATATAGATCTACATTGCCACAAGAGTTAGCCACTTTAGGGACTTTTGCTCAAACTCTAATGCATGCAAAGATAAATTGTATATAACAGTGAAACTTGTGTAATTCTGGTTACGAGGGCACATTACTAGCAATATTTGATTTGAAAATACAGCATTCATACAAAGTGCTTTGGTAAAAATTTTGATGGTAAAAAAATTGTACCGAAATGCACTTAGTCACATTTCTTTCTGTTCATAAGCATGAGACCTTTTCCTCTTAGCTAGGTGCCTGCTTATATTGTGCCCATCATTTTGAGGATTTAATGTTTCATCACCTATCAACAACGTATGTCAGTATCATTTGGCATGAACCTATTGTAATATTGTTTGAAGAGTTGAGTGTAGCCAGTGAAAAATGCTAGACATTAAGATAAAAACACAATATACTATTGCGTTTAAGATAATGGTTTTTAAAATTTTTCCGTCTCTTAGAGTGGGCGATGATTTTTCAACTCATCGAATGGAAACTGTAGGTAAGTTGCTCAAGTGTCTACATTTCTCATGTCTTTACTGCTTTAGTGTGTTCTTCATGGCTTCGTGGAAAGGCTGATGGGTGCTTGTGTTTCAGGGAGCCCTCGCTTCCAGATTCCCGCTCATCTCCGCTCACTGCAGGAGTATGAAGAGGTGATAATTATTGCATTTTCTTGCTTACCAAAGTGATCTTATCTCACAAAAAAATATCACATAAAATCGTTGCTACACAAGATTCAATGTACACATCTAAAAACCGACTACGCTCGCTGAAGAAACCAGGAACAGAAAGGCAAACAATACTAGTTTTGTTCACCACAAGGACACACAAGCCCGAAATTCTTTTTAGGACAATCGTGAGCGGGGCAAGGCAGTACAACATGAGCCAGTTACTTCTGAAAAAGTTGAAGATGCTCGAAGTGAACGATTCTTTTAATGGGAAGAGCTCGTTTTAATGGGAAGAGCACAATTTTTTAAATGGACCAACAATTGATTTGTCTCGATGCATTTTTTACGGCAAGACACAAAGCTCACCCTTTGTAGTGTTTGTATCTGCAATAGTTAATCCCAAAAGCATATAGTTATTTTATAAGCAGTATTTTTCTATCTGATAGGTTCTGAACATAGGTGCATTTACCTTTCCTAAAACAACACTAAGAATCGATAGTGATGCTGTCAGCCCTTCTCGCGATTTGTCAAAGCTGTCTCTCTGCTTTCGCATGTGTTCCTGTAACTATGCCTAAGCACCTTTATTTTGAGCTTTTCAACTATTTTTGCAAATCAGAAGCTGTTACAATGAGATAATGTGGTATTATACTTCCCTGTAATTGTACCGCGTTGCGTGCACCTGTGCCCAAAGTTACCTGCGCCTGTGTCATGGGGGACTTGTCCTGACTTCCTTACTCTTTGGATACACGAGCCAAGCCATCGAAAATGTCACTACACATATGAATGATCGCGCTGAGTAGCAGTGCGCATCATTTCTGAGACCAAGTGTTAGTAGAAAAACTGTGTCGCTCCAAAATCTGCATTCACAGTTGCATGAGCACGCTGAAAAGTTGCTCGAGACGCGCTGACGAGCATGGGATCATTGCGTCACACGAAGGCAGCGCCACTTTAATGCATGCTACTAATGCAGGCCTTTATGTACAGGCTGTTTCACATTCAGGGAAAATCTCGAAGCGCGTGGCATCATGATGTTGCCTGCGCTGCAACTATGTGCCGTCAGCAGCTCGTGCATGCGCTGATGATTCTAGAGTGTAGCTTTGAACTGCGTCGTCTTCTACGACTCTTGCTTGCTGCAGTGCTGGCCAGCGTGCGGATATCGTTATTAGTGCAGGAACTAGGCCAATCTTCTGCACTTAACATTGTGCGACGCCAGCCTTTATGTGTGATAGTGGGGGGGGGTGGGCTACAAGAAGAATTTGACAGTGTACCTTGTTTGCTTTCTCGAAATGCCGTGGTGCTGTTTGCGTTCAGGAATATTGCTTCACTGTGTGTGCACCGCAGTACACTTCAATCAGGAAGAAGTGACATTTAGCACGCAATATCCATTGTCTTGATTTGTCTTTAAATAAAACACAAGCTGTCAACAGGAACAGTTGTACTGTTGTGCTGGCTTAACGCAATAAAACAAATGGGAACAAATTCAGAAATGTCTTAAGTGAGAACAAAGCCTGAACGTGTTTTTTCATGACATTTCATTACCAGAAGACTCGCTAGCTGGCTTCGAAACGTAGGGAAGTTTGTACAACAGAGTTCGATAACCTCAAGTCGCTCTTTTTCTGGTATACGGGACATGGTAAATTAGGCGAAAAACACAGTGCTGCTCTTTTCAGACAAGAAAAAAGTGAAAAATTGTATGACAGGCTAGCCCCTGTTTTATTCAGCTCAATCTGGATGTTGTGATGACATGCATTCACTGTCATCAAGAATGAGCGCTATCATCACTGCCGCTAGAGACATGAACTTGGAAACGTCGCGAGTGCATTTCAGCACCGGGAACGAGCCCTTTCTGTTGTGATCAAAATTGTAGAGAATGAGCATGTTCAGGTGGTTTCTCTATCCTAAATCATTTCTGAATTCATTCTCGTTTGTTGTGTTAAACCCGCTCAGCTGCTGATCAGTCACCACTGGGTGCTTTCTAAAGTCAAATAGAGACCAGACATTGTGCATGCTCATTATGTGCCTTCCTTATCCAAGCTCACTGCGGCGAGCACACAATGAAGAAACATTTGTGAACTCGTATTTCCATAGAGCGAACAAGGTGTGCTGTCAAATACTGTTTCTAGTGCCACATTATCATGAATATAGGCTGAGAGGTTGGCATTGCACTTTAGTGCATACAAACTTTGAAAGTTGGGTAAGTTGGTACGTGAACACCTGTGCATGAAGACCGAACACGAAAAAAGAAAGCACACGTGAGATTGTCATTCTTTTTTTCTTTATATTCTGTCTTGTGGCACAAATTTTTTCTGAAAATGGTTAGTGCAGAGTATCGACCCAATTCCTGCATTAACAATGATATCCGTGCACTGGCCGACAATGCGGCGTGCAACCTGCTGTAGCAGACGACGGGGTTCAACTCTACACCCTTGCAGCGTATGTGCATGTGTGAGCTGCTGGCAGCGCTCGATTGCAGCGCTGGTCGCATGGTGATGCCAGGCGCTCCGAGATTCCCCTAAGTATGAAACAGCCTGTACATTTTTATGGAGTAACATTTGTTAATGTAAAGAAACAAACGTTACAATATTAACAATAAAGTCGACAGTGTATAGTAATCAATAGTCATGTGGCTAGGTACATCAGATTGTTCATGCTTTGGCCACCAAAGGTGCCAAAGATCATTTTTCGCAACTTTCATTGGAAAAATGAAAATATAGATCCACCTCTCACAAAAAAAATAGGGTTGGTTTGAGTCAATGTGTCTGACAATGTCTTCATCACTGGAGTCATCTCATTTCATAATCTGCACAGTTGTCGATCCCTTTAACTCTTTCGTTACCACAGCTATTCAAATTGATCACCGGTGTGTTATGCTTTGAATCATCAATTTTGGCATGTTGAATTTGTTTTGCATGCACCTAGCACTTCTTTGTATTTAGTTCAGCCACTGACCTTCCAGAATCAGTTTGAATTTGCCCAATTTGGCCACATAGGGATTTTTGATCGACCTTTTTGCAAACCAGTGTGCATGTGTTGTGGAAATGCGCTTGGCTGACAAACTTCAGAGAAATGCGTACCGCTTGTGGTAATGCTACAGTAACATCAAAATTTTGTAATCAAAAGAACCTCAGCAAGTCGAATATCACATTATGGCATCAGCTTTGCAGTCTGACAGTGTTCATTTATAAGAATTGCCTGGATTTTACGCCAGGTATTCACCAGCGAGCTGTTGTTTAAAGTCGGAGAAAATTTATTTTACAAAGAGTTATTTCCAAAGCTCTGCCGCATGTATAACATGTGGAGGTGGTCTTTTCAGACAGTTTTTAATAGCTTCTGTTTCGCTTCTGTTGTTAGATCAGACAAAGGTCCACATTCACTGTCACTATTCGCTCCTATCGGGTTGTGGTCATGCGCTCATGGGTGCGCACCTGTGTCGCGAGAAACGCGCACCGCAAGACACCTGAATAGAGTTACAGCGAGCTTTGAGTTCAAAGATGACAGCACCTCAGACTCAAGCTCTGATGGCGACATCGTTTGGTGCCTGGCTATGACATCCGCAGTCGTTCAGGGGTTGGTTTCGTTTACGGCCTCAGATGGTCTTCTCCTTCGCAAGTGCGTAGCAGCTGACCTTTATGGGCAGTCTTATAGCTAGTCTGTTTATGTGTGAGGTCCACATGTCGCTGGGGTGCGATGTGTTGGTGCCAGCTGTGGAGCTTCTCACAGCAAGGCCACCAGAGCACATCTCGGCCCCGCACAACAGAGTAGCACGAGATGTTTTAGGTTTGCGTGCGATTTCATATATACTATGTATATATATATATTTTTTTTTTCAGTATATGTTTTGATACATATTTGGAGCACCAACCTATGCGGAGAGAGGTGGCTCACAAAAAGAGGTGATGCCAGATGAACTGGTGAAGTGCATTGGACATCTGATATATATATAGGCATTATTCAGATCGCGGGCGTCCGTCTATACTGGAACACTAGCAGGCCCTTTTAGTGAAAAAAACTAAAATTTTATGTGAAAAGTGTGCGAGTCCACATGTCTCACGAAAAACCAGGAAATGCCTCACCGCATGGCATGAGCAATCAAGCAGTATCTTGGTTCAGATTTCTTTTCTCTATTTTATAGGAACATTGTGTAGAAGATTTATGATTTTTTATGCTATTCCTGGGGCATTCATCTTCAGAATGTATATTCTGAATTTTCTTTGTTTCGACTATTTTTGCAGATATCGTGTTTATTATAGCTGTCTTTGTTTCGACTATTTTTGCAGATATCGTGTTTATTATAGCTGTGTTTATCAACTGGAAACCAAAATTACACACTTTTCACATTTTTATACATTGCACAATAGTTTTGTTGCTGTACAACTTAATTTTTTTTTTTTTTTTTGGAAATAGCATTTCGTTATGCATGATTTAGTATGCTGGAATGTATGCTGGAACACTTTGCTAAATGGCAAAATCTTTGTTCCCAAAACATATGAAAAATATCCATGGTGACAAAAGAGTTAAGGGAAAGTATGGTATCACTTGTGGTTTTTCGGTGAATATAGAAGATCTCTCTCATTCTATTGCACAAGACGAGCTTCTTGTTTCCTAAAGGGGATGCCTAGAGTGCAACAATATGACCTACTTTCAGAACTCAGCAGGCCGGTCTGTTGACAATTTTCTAGCTTAACTTGAAGTTTATTTGAGGGCTACCTTTATACATTTTAGCAAGGAACCTTTTCTCTGGCATTGGAGTGTGCGCATTGGGTTTCACATAACACTGATCTGATGGGATATTTTTTTATCTTTTTTCGATAGGTTCTTTGGAGCCTGACCTGTTTTCAATGGGAGATGATTTTTTAAAGTGTTTAGATATGTTGATGATTTTTTAGCACTTTTAAACAAACTGTGACTTTACTTTCCCTACTGTTATTTTAGATGCTGTTAATGAATGCCAAGGCCTTGTTTTTACCCTTGAATTGCCTGACACC